TGTGTGTGTGTGTATATATATATGTGTATATATATATATTATATATATATATATATACATACATATATAATTGTATATATATATAATTGTATACATGAGAAGTAGATTCTTGGCAAAGTGTAGATATATCAAATAAATCTTGGAACAAGGCGTATGTATCAAATAACGGAAGAGTGCTCGGATAATGGAATAATGATGTACTGTAAATTTAAACCAAGCAAAAAACGTTCTTCTCAATTGTTTCAAAAAGAGGTTTCGGCAGGAAATGAGACCGGAAATTTCTCCCTATCAAGGCGAGTACCATCCGCTAGATCACAGAGGCCTTGGGATATCGCAGATACAATCAAGCGTGTGGGTGGGTGTGTGTGTTTGTGTCAAAAAATAGTAATGATAAAAATGCTCAAATGTAGAAACACATTATGATCTTCAACGTTGATACCTTCATTAGTTATTTTAGAAAGAAAGTGCTTCCGGTTGGATTTCAAGCTGTAATATTTCGTCACCAAAACGCATTTTTAGCGAAGATTGCACGTTCGAGTCACACAGGAAGCATTTTTTTTTTCTCAAACAACTAAAGGTAGCCTACATTTCGATGAACGGCTATGCTACATAACATCACAATTTCATTTGTTGTGTATCTGAGAACTGTTTATATTAATCACCAGTTTGTTTGCATACGGTATGTTTACAGTGCTAAGCAACAACTTTGATATACATACATTTTTCGTACCTGAGTGTATATATATATATATATATATATATATATATATATATATATATATTTAATATATCAAGTTAATTGACTTAGGTCACTCGATTAAATATACACAATAGTTTAAATGTATGAATACATAATTTATATATTTCATATTTTAAAATCAAACATTTGATGAAAAATGAATAGCATATGACAATTACTTTTTAAAATAGAGTATGTGCGTGTATCAATGATCTAAACTAATAAGCAATAGTTATAGTTGTTTAGAGCAATTAAAATACTTAATTTACTTTTAGAATTTGTCTAACGGAAAAAATACTTAAATCTTTAGAACCAATGGTAATAACAAATGGCATGAACGAATGACAAGAGTATAATATTTATTTAAAAGCATGTTAGAAATTCCGTCACTTTATTGCACCATTATCAATACAGAAAACCGCTAGTCATTTCAAGTATAATTGGCACATGAACAATGTAACGAAATATAACATTTATGCTATTGATTAACTTACAACATGATAGTGTGAGAACCTGTAATATTGTGGTAAATAATTCCGTATTTAAATCAATTATCACACATTGGTATATAGACATACTCGAGTCTAATCATCTTCAGGACATTACTCGTAAAAATATCTAGAAATCAAGAAATAGACATCATTTGTGAATTATGTATACCTTTGTTGTTCGTTAGTGTATTGGAATAGAAAATGATGTAAATGAATTCGTTCATCAGTATCCAAATTTCCATTGAATAGCAAAACATATTGTAAGTGAAAATAACAATAGCTTACCAGTAATGCACTATATTACTAACTAAATCAGTTAATTATACAAGAAATTCGTATGATTGACGAATCAACAAATCTTTTATCGAAATCCCAGTTTTCTGCCTTAACTGATATTCACATGGGCTTCCAATGAGTACATTACTCTCCATACGCTTTCATTCTACTCTCATATAGAAATAGACAAACATGCAAAATGTATAACTTCCACTTATAATACATTTGAAGAAACCTCCTATTGTTAATATCAAAAGATACTTCAAGAGAATGGTCCAGCATTCTCACAGTCATGTACGTACAAAACAGATGACATCTTGATTAGCGTATTTTACGTACAAATCATGGTTTCCGTTACGGAACAATTAATTTACATAAAGAGTATATGAATAATTTTTTCATTTATTACAATTAGGAACATTCATTTATTCAAAAAGTGTTTGAAGTGTATCCTTCCATTAAGTAGTCTGTAGCAGCTTTCTTTTTGAGCACTAAATTTGCGTCCAACTAAAATTCCGTCAGTAATATGTACCTATGTGCGGTGACACGTGACTATGTGGATGGGTCACGTGACTACCTGGATAAATGTTAGCTGCGCTTGGTGATGACCAATACGATGTATGTGATCCGAATAAACTTGCGTTTGTCGACGGAATTGGTGCACCAACAAATTTTGCTGGATGGGGATATCCTTGAATGTAAGATAGGTCTGACTGATATCTGTAAATGCTTGGATCTGTTTGAACCGGCTGCATTGCCTGTGCTAGTCCAGCAAAGTCAAATTTGTATGCATACCTTTTGCCATGTACTTTGGTCATTATGTTTTTATCATAATAATATCGTAATGCTCTGCTTAGCTTGTCGTAATTCATGTTGGGTTTACTTTTTCTCTCACCCCATCGCCTCGCAACTTCATCAGGGTCTGTCATTTTGAATTCACCATTTGTACCTTCCCATGTAATACAGTTTGAATTGGAGCTGTCTGAAAGCAATTCCAACAGAAACTGCCACAATTGAATCTGTCCACTTCCTGTTTAAATAAGTGAAATTAAAATCAAATTAGAGTAATTCAAATTTTTGAAAAACCGTACGCATTTTTCCAGTTATAGGCCTACACGTTTTTGATAGAATTTTATAGGAAATATATATCATTGCCGTTGTCGTAGTTGTCGGCACCATCTAACGCTGCGCGTTTTAAATATGCGGTGGTGAACTTTTCTTATAATTCGACCTTATTCCTACCCCTTCTGTAATTATTACATTATTATTCTAACCATCAAAAAGAGATTTAGAAAAAACACCTGATCATCATAGCATGTTATTTCAGTTACTGTTTCTGTACTTTGTAAAACATACTCCATAAGCACAATATACTATAGGACTTTTTCGATGTAAACCTTCAAAGAAACATAACAATATGGTGATTCACAAACTCCAGAAAAAAAATATTATAAACTTATACATGTAAATTGAAAATCGCATCTAACCATGACCGGCCGAGAATGGTCAGGGTTTGTTTCCAACTGTCAAAACCTGAATGAAACACTGCGCCAAATCGCCTTCCCCACGACAGAAAACCCGAGATTGAATTCATCCCGTATAGCCTATATTCATAAGATATTTTAACGATTAAGCTATTAATAGCACCGTGAAGGCAAGACAAATTCAAAATAGGCCTAAATAATATTCTTTTTATTATATTTATATTAAAAAATCGAAGTACTAAAGTGATTGAACACTTGATGAAGACGTTGGTAAAGACGCTGATCAATTTTATTTATATCGAGGCAAATTGTATACAGCAGGCTTATTTTGTTCAACTACGACAGTTAATTTAACTCTGAGTAGAAAGAAAAGCACAAATATCCGCCCGTCGGAAATACAATCATCTCATGGTATCCGGGAGTCAATAAAATCGAATCGTTATTCAGTGCCTTTTAGTCGTTCAAATAATAATCATAAACGTACTTCAAGTACGATGCCATTTTGCCTCAAGTGTTTAATGGGCACAACTCCGCCAAGCCATACTACCGAACAAATATAATGTGGAGCACACTAGCGAATTGAAAAGAATGAATAGACATAAAATAAACTAAAACAATAATATCACTGACCATAGTTTCCAGGCTAAGTGAGTTTAATTGTGGTTAATTGATGTTTAAGTCAACATAAATGGACATAAAATTAACTAAAACAATAATATCACTGACCATAATTTTCAGGCTAAGTGAGTTTAATTGTGGTTAATTGATGTTTAAGTCAACATGAATGAACATAAAATTAACTAAAACAATAATATCACTGACCATAGTTTTCAGGCTAAGTGAGTTTATTATTGTGGTTAATTGATGTTTAAGTCAACATTTTAATAGCTATTAATTTTTCACTTCAATTTCAATTCATAAACCATGTAACTGATCTTAAATATGCCTAACGTTAACGGATATTAAAATATGAAATCTTTATTATTTTTTAATTCACTGTGTTACTTGTGTACGTTATGGTTCTTATAATATAGGCCTATTATACAGATATTATTTTACAAATGATCATACGTGTCTTCGAGTGTAGTTTTTAATTCTCTGTGTATCAGGATAATCAATGGTTTTTTGCTTAAATTTGTTTTGATTTTTTTTTCACATTACTTTAACCTACCATTGTTGTTTTGTAAAAAGATAAATTGGCTTAGAAGCAAGTGAGACGTCAGCATGAATGAGTTAAAGATGACTTTTGAGATGACTTGGTTGATTGTTAACAATAGATCGATCGAGTAAACGTATCAAGACATTGATTGAGCAAAACGATTGGGTTAATTATGTGAGACTCGGTTGCATTCACTTCAGGCTACATATCTACTTAAGCCAAATCAAAGACATGTCATATAGCCAGAAATAAATATATAGACGACGGTGATACATTACCAGCAATTTGATCATTGGAAGTATAGACCTATTTATCAAAGCGCATTCTTTGTGCATAACAAAGACTTCTTTTAATGAACTTATGCAGCATTCTTTTGGATGTGTGGTATTTTATAAAAAAAAAAAAAAAAAGTAGTTACATAAGTACGAAAGAATCTAATAATATGTGAGTCTGTTAGCATATTATAGACATTACCTGTATTCGGTTTACAATATCCGGTCTAGTGGTGTAACTAATTTCTGAGGGGCCCTGGTTCAAGGGTACCGTCGGGGCCTTTGACGCATATAAATTAGCAATTACTACTCTTTTACTGAAGTAATCCATACATCCATACTAATACCATCCCCAGCCGAACATCATTCCCATGAAATCGGTCATCAAACAAAATACTATACACTCAGAACTCTGGTGGAATAGACCGTTATCTTGTTTGTATGCAGAAATTCATTCATGGTAATTCCAAGTAACTACTTATAATTCTTGAATGTTCTGTAAGAGGACAGGCCAATGTAATAGATTAAATAATAACAGGCAACCGGAAAAGGTCAAGATCCGACATATGAAATAGGACCGGTCATTGTAAGCGATATTATTAATAGCGGAGAAACGGACAACCGGGAAAGATCAGGATCCGACGTAGAAAAGGACAGACCAAAGTAAGCGAATGCATTATTAGCAGATTGATGAACAATTGGAATAGATCAAGATCCGACTTTATCAAATAGAATATGCCAATGTAAACGATAAAAGTAATAGCGGAAAGACGGACAAACAGAATAGACCGGGATCCGACGTTGAAAAGGACAGGCCAATTTAAACTATTAAATTATAATAGCTGAGCGACGGACAACTGGAATAGACCAAGATCCGACATATAAAATAGAACAGGCCAATGTAAATGATAAAATAAAATATTGGAGCGACGGCGGACTAACCGGAATAAATCAAGAAATGCCAATGTAAATGATTAAATCAATGGCGTTGGTGGGTGACAGACAATTTGAATAAATCAATATCGACTTATGTAATATACAGGGCAGGCCAAGGTAGACGATCAAAATAATAGTGGGGAATGGACAACCGAAACAATTAAAACAATGGTATAATGAAACATCAGGACGGTAAAGCCGGCCGCGCCACTCACTGTGCGCACGACGGTTGTCGGCCAACGCGATTCCATGGAGAATGCATCACCACGACGCGCCCGCGACTGTTCGTTTTTTTTTTCTGCCTCTTCCTTGCGGAATGATCTACCCTTTGTTTAAATTTTGACCATTTTAGATTCATTGAAAGTACTGTAATTCAAAAAACTATAAGAGTAAACCTAATTTTTAGCTGGTGTATTATAACTACTATAATGGATTTTGAATATAAACAAATTAACATTGGGAGACATGGATCAAGAAAATGTAATAACATTTAAGTGGTGTGTTTACAACATAATAATTATTTACGATAACGTCATGAAAATAATGATACTAAAATTTAATAGCACTTATAATATTAATAATAAATGTATTAGCCCATTTATAATCGGATATAAAGCGAATTTATTCATCAATCCGCTAAGAATGTATTCGTTTTATAGGACTTTATTCGTTGAAAAGCTACAGGGTACGGTAGCCTACGATGTTCCATCATGTCCTTATTAAACACTGTATATGTACCTTTGATGATTTATATTCTATAAATACTAGATCTACAATTAGGAGAGGTCTTTTATTATTATTATTATTATTATTATTATTATTATTATTATTATTATTATTATTATTATTTAGTAGTAGTAGTAGTAGTAGTAGTAGTAGTAGTAGTAGTAGTAGTAGTAGTAGTAGTAGTAGTAGTAGTAGTAGTAGTAGTAGTAGTAGTAGTAGTAGTAGTAGTAGTAGTAGTAGTAGTAGTAGTAGTAGTAGTAGTAGTAGTAGTAGTAGTGGTAGTAGTAGTAGTAGTAGTACTAGTGGTAGTAGTAGTAGTAGATAGTAGTAATAGTAATAATGGGGAAGGCGGTTGGGCGCAGCGTTTTCTATTGCCCCTGAACTCCGTGGTTAGGAGCCACACGCTGACCATTATCGGCCGGCTTTTCTTAGATACCCCATCTAGCACTGTTGACGGGCTGTGAAGTGGTTCACTCTATGTTTTAAACATTACAAATGAATAAAATAAGACTGCATCTCATCAACAATGATGGTGACATCAGGCCATTTTAAAAATCTCATTGGCATGTCATTATATATAGGCTAATAAACGTCTGTTTATAAAAACATCGCTTTAATAAAAACATTCTTTAATAATTATTATGTTATAAACACACCACTTAAATGTTATTACATTTTCTTGATCCATGTCTCCCAATGTTAATTTGTTTATATTCAAAATCCATTGATTTATTCAATAATTTGAAAAAGATAACAAAAATCCAATAGTTATAACTTCGAAAATGTGTTGGTTTGAACTTATAATCTTACCTGGGTTACTAAGAGTCCTGCTTGTAGGTCCAAACATCTTGTATGGATCTACAATTAGGAAGAAAGAGAAAAAGCAATAATAAGAAGAGATTTATTAGAATAGATAGATAGAAATTAAAACTATGCAACAAATAGGCCTATATAATAAAAGCAATATAATAGCATATATA